TAAGAGGTCATTGTACTATAAAAACATCCTGTAAGTTTCAGAACTCAAAACTTTCTCGTTAGTCTAAAAACAGCTTTTATTGAAACCAAGCTCAGAAAACGGCTGGTTTTGCAATGTGCCACTTTATGACGTAATAGTGTGGCTAAGCTCCGCCTTCACAAGAGAAGATCAACGCCTGCTTCTACATCACTGCCTCTTTAGCCCCGCCCACTGATTCTACATCACTGCCTCTTTAGCCCCGCCCACCGACTCACGCATGTAGTGTAAATAACAAGAGAGGCAAACGCTGGTCTATGCAGAAACCAAACAATAAAGATGCTCCGAAGACAACAAGATGCTGTTCATTGCCAAGCTGTGGAAAAACACAGTGTTTGCATCGCCTTCCTTCTGATCCCAACGTTAGGAAAGAGTAGATGAACTATTTTTAATGAAGTTCCAGATCACGGCAGTAAGAGCTTGGTCCTTTTTTCACTTCATTTCTGCGGATTTGTTTGCAAACAAGGCACAATTCAACGCAGGATTTTCAGAAAGATTGAAACTAAAAGACGATGATGTGCGACTATATTGGATCCGACAGTAATGTTGCACCACACAAGTGTGAGTAACTGTTTTTATTACGTGCTCACTATTGCTTTGTCTGTTATTACAGATCATTTGATATGTACTGAGTATTTATGCTTTTTTAACCTAAAACACAGCAATGTCCATCTATGAAGGATGTTAGCCAATCATAGCATTTACTTCTGAGTTGACGATCCACCACACCTATTCAAACAGAGCGTTCTGATGAGGGCATCAAAACAGGACAGAAAATAGCCTATTATTTCTGAATTATGATGTTTTTTGATGTAAAAATCTTGATAACATTATAAGCGGACATTAGAACAGTACAAAATAATAAAAAAAAGGCAGTTCATGACCCCTTTAAACGCACACAATAGCAGATGAAAAGAATGGCTGAGCCTGTTACAAACTGCTGGCACACCTTTCATGCTGTGTGTGTGTGTGTGTTGTTTTCATGTTTAGCTGGTTTAATGTTGGAATAATAGTTTTAATTGCTGTGTGTGCCGGGTCACAGTGTGTGTGTGTGATTTTCAGACGACTTGCGTGTGATGTGTGTGTGTGTGTGTGTGTGTGTGTGTGTGTGTGTGTGTGTGTGTGTGTGTGTGTGTGAGAGAGAGAGAGAGAGAGCTGTTGAATGTACTGGGTCTCTCTCAAAATCACCAGCATTACCTTCTTTGTTCGTTTTGCACTTAGCCATAACAGAGAGACACAGCATAAGGGCTTGAATATAAGTAAAATAAGCTGTGGATGTGGATGATAAGTCCAGATAGTTAGTGGTTAACTCAGCTATAGGATGAAGGAGGTTTTTACTCCTCGATGGCAGCTGAAGGGTGGAGGGTTCCAGGTTTTACAGGACTTCATCATCATCATCTGTCACTCTGGGTAGGTGCTCATTGTGGATCATCAGAGCAGGAGAATCTCCTCTGTATGTTTGAGAAATGATTGTGCACTTTTTCTCCCTATGAAGCCTTCTGTTTCATATTTGATACACAAAGGCCTCTAAATGATCAACATGAACAAAACTTTGTTGTTAAACCTGTTTCACACATTCTGTCGTCTGATTGATAGTTTAGAGTTAATTATCACATCAAAGCTCTTTTAGTATAATTGTACAAATGTCCACTTTCAGCTTGTGCTTCATGTGTCTTTTTGCTGTCAAATCTTTATTGTTTTTTATCAAGTAAACTTAAGAATAACTTTTATTAGTATTTCAAGATGAACACTTACTGGACTCAAGCAACTTAGGTTTGCTTGATTATTTTTGAGAAAAATCATGATTAATATATATAATTTTATATTATTTGATATATAATATAAAAATATGATCATCAGGCTTTTGAGGAACGTTTATTTGTTTGTCTTTCAATCATCATTGTATTGCATTGCATTATATGTTTTGCTCATCAAACTAAGTATTTAAATCTCATCTTACTAATACTATTGGAGATATAGAGTGACGACTGATATTTATATAATTTTATGTAAGTATCTGCTGTACTGTTATAAAGATCACATGATTTACATTACAAATGGTCAGATTTAAATCTTTTTGTCCATAAAAATATTGGCACCAAATTGCATAGGCTATTTTTTGCTCAGTTTGGGCCTCTGAATAAAAAGGTGTTTTTTCTTCCATATGGTCACTATATTATGAGGCTGAGCCATAAAAGCCTGATGGATCAAATATGATACTCAACAAAAACACTTGTGCAAGCTTCTTTGTTTAAATTTTGATTTTTGTCTGACTTTTATTTCATATGTTAGTCTTTAAAGGGTTAAACGTGTGTGTGTGTGTGTGTGTGTGTGGCACAAGGTGTTAAAATAATTTTGGCAATTTCATGTTTGTCTTATGATGAAATTGTATTTCATAAGTGTTATTTGTCTTTATATCAGCCATCAGACACCCTGATCTCTAAATGGGCATCACGTTTTGGAAAATCCAAATCCAGACGCTGAACTGAGTTTGTGTTTTTGTTTGTTCACAAGTCACAAGTCTCAGTCTAGCACATAGCATGGTGTTTATTTATTTATTTATTTTAAATATATATTTTTTGATGAACCTAGCTGTATAGAGAAGTTATGATGAAGTGCTGGGTTGAGACCACGAGCAGTTCTGTCTTGGCAAGTTTGAGTTGAAGATGATGGTCCTTCATCCAGCCAGAAATGTCTGTCAGACAGGCTGCAATGCGAACAGCTACTGTCGGATCATCTGGTTGGAATGAGAAGTAGAGTTGAGTGTCATCAGCATAGCAGTGATAGGAAAAGCCATGCTTCTGAATGACAGATCCTAATGATGACATGTAGATGGAGAAGAGAAGTGGTCCAAGCACTGAGCCCTGAGGAACCCCAGTAGCAAGAAGTTGTGACTTGGAAATCTCACCCCTCCAAGACACCCTGAAAGACCTACCTGAGAGGTTAGACTTGAACCACTGGAGTGCGGTTCCTGAGATGCTCAACTTTATGAGGGTGGACAGGAGGATCTGGTGGTTAACTGTGTCAAAAGCAGCAGACAGATCCAACAAGATGAGTACTGAGGATTTGGAAGCTGCTCTTGCCAACCTCAGGGCTTCAGTAACCGAGAGCAGGGCAGTCTCCGTTGAGTGGCCGCTTTTGAAGCCAGATTGCTTGTTGTCCAGGAGGTTGTTCTGTGCAAGAAACATAGAGAGTTGGTTGAACACAACTTGCTCAAGTGCCTTTGCAATAAATGGAAGAAGGAAGAAGAGAGGAGAAGGTTTTGATAAGTGTGCGAGAGTCAGACCAATGGTTAATTCTGTTGTGGTAATATGTCGTTTTAGCAGTGGAGACATTTGCAGAGAAGGAAGAGAGGAGAAACTGATACACACTAAGGTCAGTAGAATTTTTTTATTTGCACCACTTCCTCTCTGCAGCCCTGAGTTTAGAGCGATGTTCACGGAGAACATCGGATGGCCAAGGGGCAGAGGGGGAAGTGCGTGCTGGTTTGGTCTGGATGAAAGGGGGCAAAAGTTGTCTAAGCAAGATGTTAGAGTGGAGCAAAGAGTATCAGTAGCAGTATTAGTGTCCAGTGCTGAAAACTGAGAGGGTGGAGGAAGTGAGGATGAAACCATAGAGGATAGGCGAAAGGGAGAGTGTGAGCGTAGGTGACCTGCAGAGGAGTGTGTGTTGTGTCCGGAGTCAGTCTGAGGTTAGAAGTGATGAGGAAGTGGTCTGAGGTGTGCAACGGAGTAACTAAAGTGTTGTCAGTGGCGCAGTAGTGTGTGTAGATAAGGTCTAGTCAGTTAGCTGATTTGTGAGTAGTCATAGTAGACACTCGCTTGAGGTCGAATGAGGCAAGCAGAGTGTTGAAGTCAGCAGCCTGGGGCTTTTCTAGGTGGATGTTGAAGTCACTGAGTAGTTGCAGAGGAGTACCGTCATCAGGGAAGTTTGAGAGTAACACATCCAGCTCCTTCAAGAAGTTACCCAGTTGAGTTTGGGGTCGATAAATAACTACAAAGTGGATTTGAACAGGGTGGGTAATAGTAATTGTGTGTGATTGAAATGAACTGATGCCAGTAAGAGATGGTAGAGGATCAAATTTCCATTCATTTGAGATAAGTAGACCAGTACCTCCACCCCTCCCAATCGGGTGAGGGGTGTGGGAAAAAGTGGAATTAGTGGAGAGGGCTGCAGGAGTGGCAGTGTCCTCAGGTTTGATCCAGGTCTCAGTTACCATGAGGTTGAGACTTGAATGCAGCAATAGATAAAATAAAGTCTGCTTTGTTTACAGCAGTCTGGCAGTTCCAAAGACCAATTGGAATAGAGAGTAAAGTAGTAGAGGACATAGGGACAGTAAGCAGAAGTAATCAAATCAAAAGGTCAGGTCGGGTCATAGATGTGTCATGGCGACACATCTATGTTTATATGTTTGCTGTGCAAAGTATTTTCTATGCAACATTTTTCCTTAGGTTGACACATTATAAGGCTAGATTTACACTTTTTATAAGACTATATTTTAGATTAATGCCAGAAATCTCTTTAAGTTGATCCTTTAGCATTTTGCTTAATATATATATTTAACCAGCTATGTCGTCCTCAGACTAACCGTGATGTCAGACCACTGGGAGCTTGTAGGAAAAAGGAGAGGTTGCAACATGTTCAGGTGTTTCTTAATGTCAACATCAAATCATATTTCACCCTATTAAACTTCTCCTTTATTCCTGGACTGCTCTTATTGTGAATGATTCATCAGTGCAGGTTATTCTAAAGAAAAAGTAACTTGCTCCACTAATACACCAAAGCGATGTGGAACAAACACACTTATTCTAGTGTGGTAACACACCTTGCAGTATTGCTTATTATGTATTTGTCATTTTTATATTACGTCAAATCCAGTTTTACAAATGTAGGCGATCTAGGTTTTGGCATGACTTCAAATCTGCCAACATGTCATGATGATAAAGTTGAGATGTTGCGCACTGTCTGACTTTTGCTCCGTGTGCAAAGGTCAAAGTTGTACTTTAAGTCTCAGGAACATCTAAGGGGACAAATATGATCTAAATCGCACATTTGTATTCTTTGTCTCTTCAGTCCCAGACCATGAACTACGTGGGTCAGCTGGCAGAGACGGTGTTTGTGACCGTGAAGGAACTGTATCGCGGTCTGAATCCGGCCACGCTCACCGGCGGCATCGACGTCATCGTGGTTCGCCAGCCTGATGGCAGCTACCAGTGCTCACCGTTTCACGTGCGCTTCGGGAAACTCGGAGTCCTGCGGTCCAAAGAGAAAGTGGTGAGGTGGAAATGTGTTAAACTGAAGTTACCTACCATCAGTCACTAGTTATTAGTGCAAGTTAGTTGTTATGTGACAGCTGTGTTTATGATCTGTCCCGCTCAGATTGAGCAACCGATTAGTTAAAGCTGTCGTGCTTGTCTGACAGAATGTTCCTCTTTCTCAGAACTAACCAAGCTTAAACACTAGAGCATGGGTAGAACATCTTGTTAGCAGGAAATAGTTACTAGGATGTGCAAGTGCTTTCATAAATGTGTCAAAAACACGGCTAGCGCATTTGATCAGATTTATGACTATTAAAAATGAAAAACATGGGAAACACATTTTGTTAGATCGTGATGACTGTCAAGTTTCCATTTAACAGCTGTGGCATTACATTTAACTGAATGAAATTTCTCTTTTTTTTACAGCAAATTTAACGGCAGTCATATTATAATTTAACAGCAGTGGAATTTTAACTTAAATTTAACTTTAGTTATTTTTTTTATTTTACAGCAAATTGAATGGCAGTCATATTTCATTTAACAGCAGTGGAATTTTAACCTAATTAAATTTAACTTGAGTTAATTCATTTTTATTTTACAGCAAATTGAATGGCAGTCATATTTCATTTAACAGCAGTGGAATTTTAACCTAATTAAATTTAACTTGAGTTAATTCATTTTTATTTTACAGCAAATTGAATGGCAGTCATATTTCATTTAACAGCAGTGGAATTTTAACCTAATTAAATTTAACTTGAGTTAATTCATTTTTATTTTACAGCAAATTTAATCATATTTTCATTCAGCAGCAATTACGTTTCACTTAACTTGTAAAATAATACTGCTAAATAAAAAATATGCATTGCATTAAATTTGCTGTCAAATTAAATTGTTCAATTAAGTTAAATAAAATTCCACTGTTGTTAAATGAAAATAGTTCTGCCATTGAATTTGCTGTAAAATAACAAAATTTTAAATGATAAATTAAATTGTTTAATTAAAGTAAATTTAATTAAGTTAAAATGCCATTGCTGTTAAATGAAAACTTGACTGCTATTCAATTAATAAAAAATAATTATTAATGATTTATTTTATTTAAATTTAATGCAGTTATATTTTCATTCAACACCAATTGCATTTAATTTAGCTTAATTAGATTGAATTGAATTAAACTTAATTTAACAGTTTAAATCTTATAATTTTTTTAATAATTTAATGGCAGTCATATTTTGATTTAATAGCAATGAAATTTAATTTAACATAACTGAACTTCATTTAATTTAACATTTAATTTTATTTTACAGCCAATTTAATGCATATTTTCATTCAAAAATATTATTTTAATTGCATTTTCTTAATGTTTACTTATAATGTTTGTCAAATCTTGTTGCACGATGTGTTTCATGGCCATTTCTACTCTTTCTAACCATTACAATTAATAAATGTTTTTTTTTTGCATCTGTACTTTTAAGTCTTCTATATGTAATAGACCTCTGCGAATCGGCATACTCCATTCTGTGTACAGAATCTGTGTTGCTATGTAAATGTGGGCGTGTGTATGTTAATGAGCTCATGAATAATGAATGAGGCTTGAGTGTTTCAATCGTTTCTATTTCAAATAAGTGAAGAAAATCTTATTTCCCTCATTAGTTGGTTGGTTTTTAGAATTCGTATTTCTAAGCCAGCAAACCGGAGACATGCTGCTCCTCGTTCAGGTCGTATAACGCTGTATTCGTCCCTCCACAGGTGGATATTGAGATCAATGGAGAGCCTGTGAGCCTGCATATGAAGCTGGGAGATAACGGAGAGGCGTTCTTCGTGGAGGAGAACGAGGATTTTGAGGTCTGTCCAGATGAATGTGAGTTCTCCAGTCTCTCCTGTAATGTTCTGCTGTGGTTTTCACGATACTCTCTCTGTGTCGGTCTCAGACGAGGGTTCCCGCTCACCTCTGCACCTCTCCGATCCCCACCGATGTCCCAGAAGTGTCTGAGGTGATCGAGTCTCTCTCCAGCGCCGCATCTTCCTCCAACCGCCGCAAAAAACGCCGCAGGAAACGGGCGCGTTCAGACACGCATGTGCATGAGGATGCCAGCTCATCCTCAGACGAGAAAGAAAGTCTAGATCAGGATGTCCTCAAGGAGGAGTCGCTTTTGGCAGCAAGGTTAGAGGTTTACTAAGGTTAATGTACATTTACTTTTCCAGAAAATTCTGAAATTGTCTGAAAGATTGTTGGCGAAGCTCTAGCTCACGAGGGCCAGTTACAACTTATGCACGGCTAAATATTTTTGCATTGCACCATTAAACCTAGTTGAAACGTAACTGTACTAAACTAAATACTTATGGACGCCTCCGACTAGGAGTAATATTTGGAATATAATAACAGACAGACTGAACTGCATTAATAAACTCGTGTTTTACCTGACAAACTTCAATCCTTTAGACACAACACAAACCAGACCTAAACAGCACATCAAATAAATAAATGTCATTTCTGATAATTGTTTGGTATCAGTATTTTATTTATCCTAATTCATTTCAAATACAGTTTTTGAATGTTATTCACATATAAAAATATCTATGTATGTTATTCATGATTTTTAAGTTGTACCGTTTTTACCGTTAGTTGCAAAATAAGTTAGAATCAAAAACTGAAATTCACAGCATTTCAAAACAACTTCTGCTTACTTATTTGAAAGCTACTATTGGATCATTGCTGGTAAACGTCATATTATGCGACTACGCATTACTTTTAATAGAGCTTGCAACATACTAGCTACGTTTTGCATTTAGAACAAATGTTGCAACCAAATTAAATATGCACAGTTAAAAATGTTGCGACATTTCATGTGATTTTACAGTAAAATGCTGGTAAATGTAAAGTCATCTTATTTTTTACAGGACAGTTCTGATCTATGGAAGTCAGTGGCTACTAGCAGCTGTTTGGTTACCAACATTATTCAAAATATCTCACACGCTAAAAATGGTTACCAGAACTGTACTGTAAAAAAATACGGTAGCAACATTTTAAGTTTTACAGATTAAACTTAAATTTACAGTAAAAGAAATTGTATATTTCGTTAACAAAGTTTATCACAAGTAACTTTTCCACAAGTTGAGGTAAATACTAATAAATAGTATATACAATAGTATATACAATTGTATATACAAATAGTATATATAATAAACACAAATACAAAACACCATCACGGTAACACATGACACTAAAATAATGCACTAAACATTCATTTAACAACATAAGATGTAGGATAAAACCCTAGTGTAGTACATACTGAGAAGAAAGAGTTATTTCAATGAAAAACCATCAAATGTAAACGGTTACAGAGATTTCTGGAAATGTCAATTTACCGTTTTTCACTGTAAATAATTTGGGCGAACTGTCCCTTTAAGAAGTTCCGTCACGTTTGTGTTTTTGCTCTCGTCAGTAAGTCTGTGTACTACTCTCTGTCGGAGGAACTCTACGAGGAACCGTCTGGAGCTCAGAACAGAGATGTTCATCCTCACTCTGAAGGAGAGTGTTCTGTGAATGAGAGGTAGTTATAGATCTTTGAGCTGTGTAGTTCGGCCCATTTGTTCTCTTTCTCTGCTGGTATTATGGATCTCTAAAGGATATCTACTTGTGTTGTCTCTGTCTGTAGTGTGTTCTTCAGCCGTCCCTCCTCTCCTAAGAGTGATTCAGAGTTGTGTAAGCCGCAGGAGTCTCTAGGGCCTCAGATGCAGTGGAACTGGGGCGCTTTTCCCAAGGTAAATGCATACTGCATGCATACAGCTTTCGTCGCGGATAACATCACTCCAGAATGTTCCAAAACCAAGTGAGCTGCCTTCCTAGGCGGTATTTTTCGACATCATATGTCTGCTCTGAACAAGGCTGTTATAATAAAGCAATAAGCCGCAAGAAGCCGTGGTTTACAGTGAATTTATAACAGCTGAGGGGCGTTGTTAGGCACGACGCGAAGCGAAATAAAGTGAAAATAAAGTGTAATGATATTAATAAAAAACGAATTCTTCCACCAAACAATGTAGTTCCTCAGAAACAGTTGTGGTTCCAACAAAGTGGTTGTCGAGTAACACACAGAAGTAAACAAAGGTGTATGTTTGTAGAGTAAGTTACAACAGCTTCGAACGTGGCTCAGCCAATCAGAATCAAGGACCGGAACTCTCCGATTTATAAAACTAGATTATTACATTTTCTGAAGAGCGTTTGAGTGATGTTTGCTTGTGCAAAACTCACTGTCTGATGTGAAAAAGTCCACCCAGTTTGGGTTCCTCATTCAGTGGAAGTCTGTGGGAGTTTTTGTATCAATCCCAGAATGCACTGCATTCAGCTGAGTCAACAACAAAAAAACACCCAAGATGCTAGAGATTTTTTTTCAGTGTTTTATTTATTATTGATAGAAAATAGACTATTAAAAGTTCAGTCGTTTTGTGTTCACAGTATTTTCTGTGCTTGTTAACTTGCTGTTAGACTATTTGAGCTCTGTTTATCATTGATATACTGTTAAAGTTTTTGTTCAAATTTTGAATAAGAATTTCTTTTTATATTTTGTTTCACATTAATTTTAAAGTTTTAGTCTTTTGTGTTTTTGTCATTTTTATTAGTTTTTTTATGTCTATATAGTTTTTTATTAATTTTTATTTATTAGTTTTAGTTTATTTAGTTTTAGTTATTTTAGTACATCAAGTTAAACTGAATGAAAATAAGAAATGATGCCTTGGCATCTAACTGAAGTAAAATAAGTTTACATTTTTTATATTTTATTTTATTTCAGTTTTTCAGTATTTAAAATAACTTTTTTATGGTTTTAAAAAAGTTTATGGTCAGTAAGAATTTTACAAAAAATAAAAGAATAGTTTTATTCAGCAAGAATGCATTAAATTGATCAAAAGTGACATTAAAGACATATTACTAAACATTTCTGTTTCAAATAAAAGCTGTTCGTTTCATCAAAGAATCCTGGGAAAATATTTATCTCAATTCCACAAAATTATAAAACCGTTTTTTTTTTTCAACATTGATAATAATCAGAAATGCAGCAAATCAGCATATTAGAATGATTTCTGAAGATCATGTGGCACTGAAGACTGGTTTCAAAATTCAGATTTGATCACAGAAATCAATTACATTTGAACAGATATTCACATAGAAAATAGTTATTTTAAATTGCAATAATATTTCACAATATTGCTTTGGTGATCAGAAGAGACTTCTTTCAAAATCATTTAAAAAAATCTTTCCGACCCCAAACTTTGGAACAGTAGTGTACGAGGTTCCATTCATTAGGATGCTGCCTTATAAGGGCACAAAGCAGCTCACTCAGGGTTTCTTCTGCTTGTGTAGGTGTGTCAGGCGGAGAGGGATGAATCTGATTCGCTGCGAGACCCGCCCATCATGCCCTCTGACCACTCCCACTTCCGCACGATCCATCGACAAGCATCCATTGATGTGGACAGCACTGACTCTGCAGCGACGGTGACCGTAGTGAGACCCGAACCTCAGATTGGTACGACCAGCCCTCTTCCATTAGATGACACTCGTACAGTTGTTTCTTCTTCAGTTAACACACAACTGGACGTCAAGGTCACCGAAACGCATGTAGTGACTTTTCAGTCCGCAGACGACTCCTTCCCACAGGCCTGGACTGCACTGGAAAACAAAGAGACCAAAGACTTCAGTGTTAGCAGCACAGACAGTGACACTCAGACGTGTAATATAACCAGCTCTACTAACACAATGCATGGGACCAGTGCTGTCAGCAGTGCAGCTAGTTCAGACACCGTGGCTCATGTAGGAAGCCAAGAAACCGGTGATGAGAATAATGTCTCGGTCGCCTCCAAAATCCAAACCGTCACATTCGGTGAGACTGAAACAAATACAGTTATAGAAGCAGAAACGGAGGTCAACTCAGCGGACACAATCACCGTCAATCGCTCTGTGGGAGGCTCAGAGGAGGGGGCGGGATTAGAGACTTCACAGACCAATCAGAATGCTGACAGTGCTGAAGTGACACCAGCTCTGGAGTCCATCATCAAATCAGAGGATCCGGCGCTTCTTGAGTCCTCGAAAGCAACAGTCTCTCAGGACAAGAAGAAAGGTAGTGTTTACGTTATCTGTACTTATTCCAAAGCAGTAATTCAGCATTGAAAATGATTTGAACTGTAATTGTTCTTTTTCCTAGTCAAGCGGAATCATCATTTGGGACCATCTGATATCTATCTAGACGACCTCTCCAGGCTTGACCCTGAAGCTGCTGCCCTCTATTTTCCAAAGAGGTTAGAAGCTTTATTAGCCAACATGCTTTACCGATTTGTTATAAATAAATTAAACCAAAATATTTTTTTCTGCTTTTTGACACAATAAATAAATGATTGTAAATTCATTGAGTATATTATTATTATTATTATTATTATTATTATTATTAATAGCAAAAATAATAATAAAAATAAAATCTACATAAAATAAGTCTATTTTATTGTTTTGTTTTTGCTTTTTGACACAATAAATAAATGGTTGTAGCACTACAGCAATGAAAATATAATATTAATGGAGTATTATAATTGACACTTATGACTGGTTTTGTGGTCCAGGGTCACATATGGCTCTTGTTTTAGCTTTGTGGTCGATTTGTTTCAGGTATTATAACTGGGCTGTGGCGGCTCCAATGATTCTGTCAGTTCAGGCTTTCCAGAAGACTTTACCAAAGGTCAGAGATCTTTGATTACCGCTTCACTGACTAACCATTCAGACATAACGACTTGTTTTTCTGTCGTAGAGCACCATTGAGCAACTAGTCAAAGATAAGATGCCAAAAAAGTCTGGCCGCTGGTGGTTCTCCTGGAGGAGGAAAGAGCTGAACAACATTGCGGTAAAAACTCAATCTGAAACCATATCTAACAGTACAGAAATAAGTTTTAAGACATGAAACGAGCAACTCTGCTGTGCAATTTCCCTTTAAGAGACTGATAAGCCCAGTATCTGCTGACTGCGCCTGAGTATCTCTAATGCTGCATTGCACATTCATTTTTTTCTCATATTAGGGAAGTCAAAAGCCTGACGCAGAGGGGAATCAGCTTGAAGCATCTGCCGCTATCGCTGGACCATCTTCACTGAAGTAAGACGTGTGTTTGCATGCATGCAAAAAATGATGCACTCAGTATTTTTTCCTGATTATAAACTTTGACAGAAATAATTGAGAAGGATATTTGACAAACTATTTTAACTCGCATATTGTTGCATGCTAGTTTGTTGCAAGCCATGCACCAGCACAAAACACCCATAGTGCACAAAAATGAGTTCAGATTAAATAAAAAAAAAAAAAAAAAAAAATGTCAGTATAAAACTACAGGACAAATAAGAGCCATCTAAACTAAATCAAAACTTTGAATTGAATGCATCACATTTTAAAGCACTTTCTTCTCTTTGCACTAAATCTCATGCAACCAAAGTTTTTTAAAATATTGCATAATTGTGTAAGCTTATTATGAAAGTAGCATGTACAGATGGGCTTCCTCTCTTATCCAGAGAGCACTTGACCTTTGACACACTGAGTCTTTCTTCAGTTTAACACGATGAAAGGCAGTATTATCAAGACTACTGGCCGACTGTGCATTGCTTATTTGATCTTTGACCCAGTAAATCCATGATTTGCTGTTTTTGTTTTGTGTTTCTGTGTATGCAGGAGTTCTGTTGAACTCTCGAGTGATGAGGATGGCTCTGTCTCCATGAGGAAGAACAGTGAAGCGATGGACACAGCGCAGTGCATCAGTCAGATGTACCGCAAATCCCTCCGGCTGACCTCTGAGCAGATCGTAAGAGTCACGTCAACAGCATCATCATCATCTGTGTGTCGCAGAGTTCAGTCACCAGCAAGTCCTACTGTCTGGACATGAATTGAAAATTTATCTAGACATGCTTCCACGTCTAATTCAATTTCACCTCAAAAGAAATAAATAAGAAATAATATGTTGCATGTAGATAATATAAACCCTATTTTTAAGACCATTAATGCTCTTTTTATTACTGTGTTAAAGTAATGAGAGGGTTTTTTATGGAAGCTTGTTTCTGCCATGGGATAAAAAATAAAAAAGTCACAATTCTGACTGTTTTTCTCGCTTTTCTGAATTTATATCTATTTTTCTCACAATTGTGAGATATAAACTCAAACTTGCAAGACAAACGCAGAATTGTGAAATATAAACTTTCAATTCTGAGATTAAAGTCACAATTAATTTTTTTTCGTCCACAATAGCTTGTTTCTGCCACGGAATAAAAAATAAGGTAATTGCAACTTTTTATCTAGAAAATTTGCGAGACAAAAAATTGTGGGGGAAAAAAGTCAGAATTTTGAGCTAAAAAAAAGTTTAAATGACCTTTTTATTTTTTATTCTGTCATGGAAACTGCTGCCATATTTTTTTTTTTTTTTTTTCATTACAATAATGGTCATTTGGGTTGAAAATTTATGTAAATGTCACAATGCAAAAAAAAAAAAGCTTAACTGAAAATTTAAAAGAAATAATTTTAAATAATATTTTGCATGTATATAATGATGCTAGATAATATGAATTCATTACTACATTACAATAGTGAGTTTTTTGCATTACTTAACACTCCCAAATATAGGCTGCATTATTGAAAATACTACCTGAACATTTCTTACTGAACAGTTACTGTTCAATGTGCAATGGCTTAAAATAATTTCTGATATTTTCCTCTGTGTGTGTGTATGGCAGGAGAGTCTGAATCTGCGTGAAGGAGCTAATACGGTTGTGTTCAGTGTGACCACACAGTATCAGGGCACCTGCCGCTGTGAAGCCGCCATTTATCTGTGGAGCTACGACGACAAAATCATCATCTCAGACATCGATGGGACCATCACTAAGTGCGTCTCTCTGAATCTTTGCAGGATTTAGGTTAATATCTGTGACATTACGCTGATGGTTGTTCACCTTTCTCTCTGTATCAGGTCAGATGCTCTGGGGCACATTTTACCGCAGCTGGGGAAAGACTGGACTCATCATGGCATCGCCAAACTATATCACAAGATACATCAGTAAGAAACACACACGCTTTAATTCTCAAGTTTCTGATTTAATAAAACACTTCTTGTTCACTATAAATATGTGTAATTTTTAATATTTCGTTTTGACAGATACAGAAACAGTTTAAAGCGGCAGCAATGCAAATATAGTGCTTTTCACCTGCTTTTCACCTGAGATGCACTATAATTTAGGGGATGTCATGTAATTAATTACATTGATTGCAATTAATTGCATATCTATATTTGCTGAGAAAGTCCAACAGGCATTTGCTTTGTTGCGTCACATCTCACTATTTTATTTTCAGTGTTGTGCTATGAGCATAAACAGTTTTAAACTTTCAACCATTCTGTTCGGGCCTGTTTAGCTGTTTTTGAATTATGTTATGTGATTTATTTGCATAAATTAATTTATATAATTGATTTATTGACTGCCCTGTTAATACTTTTTTTTTCAGTAAGGATGCATTAAATTGATCAAAAGTAAAAGACATTTATAATGTTACAAAAGATTTATATTTCAAATAAATGCTTTTCTTTTGAACTTTCTATTCTTCAAAGAATTCTGAAAAATATTTTCAGCATTGATAATAATCAGAAATGTTTGTTGAGCAGCAAATCAGCATATTAGAATGATTCCTGAAGATCATGTGACACTGAAGACTGGAGTAATGATGCTGGAAATACAGCTTTGATCACAGAAATAAATTACATTTTAACATATAATCAAATAGAAAACTGTTATTTTAAATTGTAATAATATTTCACAATTTTTACTGTACTTTTGATCAAATAAATGCCTTGGTGAGCAGAAGAGACTTCTTTCAAAAACATTAAAAAAAACTACCAACCCCAAACGTTTGAATAGTAGTGTATTTATGAATAATTTTTGATATGGTTCTTCTCTTGCAGGAATGGTTATAAGTTCCTGTACTGTTCGGCTCGAGCTATAGGCATGGCAGACATCACTAAGGGTTACTTGCTGTGGGTAAATGATCAAGGAACGGTTCTACCAAAAGGGCCAGTGCTTCTGGCTCCCAGCAGCCTGTTCTCAGCCTTACACCGGTGAGCAGATACAGATCATTAATGTAGATCACAGCCATCTCTACCACTTCTGTTAATGTAAGTCTGTGTGTGTGTGTGTGTGTGTGTGTGGGGGAAATTTAGCCATCTCTCCCTTCAGCCTTTACCTTGTGTGTGTTCGTTCTCAGGGAGGTGATTGAGAAGAAGCCGGAGGTGTTTAAGATCGCCTGTCTCACTGATATCAGAGATCTGTTCAGTCCTGTCACACAGCCCTTCTACGCCGCCTTCGGCAACAGAACTAATGTGAGCTTTCCTTCAGTGTTACAAACATGTGCATCTCCCAGAAATGATGGGAAGGCCTGACTGTATTTTGCGCCTGTGTGTAGGATGCATATGCGTATAAGGAGGTGGGTGTACCTGAGACTCACATATTCACTGTGAACCCCAAAGGAGAACTCATACAAGAAAAGACCAAAGGAAACAAGTCCTCGTAAGTCACATCTCACACACACACAAACAAACACACACAGGATTCTTTGATGAATAGAAAGTTATTTGATTAATAAATATTATAGATGTCTTTAATGTCACTTTTGATCAATTTAATGCATCCTTGATGGAATTTATTTTTTATTTTTTACTGACCCCATACTTTTAAAATATAGTGTATCATATTTTCCACAAAAATAGTAAGCAGCAAATACTTTTTTTTTTAACATTGATAATAATAAGAAATGTTTCTGGAGTGTTTCAGATACTCTCATCTCAGCGAGCTGGTGGATCACTTCTTCCCCTTCATCTGTAAAGATCCAACCACGTCCTTCGACTGTCCCGAGTTCAGTCATTTCTCCTTCTGGAGAGAGCCGCTGCCTCCGCTGGACCTCGCTGACCTGATCTAGACACAAACCCTATCTGGAGTTCAGCTACACCTCTTTCTCAGCATTTCTTCTCATTGTCCTCTAATGTTTATATGAGCCGAATGTGTCTGTGCATTTACAGCCAAACCTGCTGTACACACACAACCCTGTGAATCTATGCAAACACAATGCTAATAGTATAACACTACACTGAGCATCTCTTTCTTCATCAGAATTGCCCAGAGAAGCACCTTTGACCCCACAGATAGAAACAAACACATTAAACTGTGCGAACGCCGCGTGTGCCTTCATATAAGCCCATGCACTGATCTGGGGTTCTCATGAATGTATGTTCATTTCAACTTCTCTGCCAAATAATGGCCTTTGACCGTTTCTAGTTTTTTTTAAAATTATTATTATTATTATTTGTGTTCCTTTTAAATAATTTTTACTATTACTTTGAGTGGTTACTGTAAGAGTGCGAGTTTGTTTTATCAGCTGAACTGTATTTTTATTTATTTTGAGCATTCAAATTGAGCTAAAACAAAGACAATCTGTATGTATTTGTCTTCCATTTGTTGAATTTAAAAGAAACAATACAAAAAAAACACTTTAAAGTTCACTCGACTGGACTTTCATATAGTTAGTGGTGTTTCCCAAAGTAAGCATCACCTGCTCCTTCATTAAATCCTTGCATCTTGCATACTTTATATAAGGATGCATCCAAACGGTGAGCTCTGATAAAAACATCCTGGTTAGTTTTATACTAATATCTGTACAGTAGTTGTGCAGTTCTGACATAAACAAGGAAATATCAACCAACAACGCTGTTCAAATAATATTACTGAAATATTGAATATTATATACTCATGTTAGTGTTATTTTTAGTTAGGTACACATCTGACTCTTTTTGACCAAAATAAAGAGATATTTTATTAATATTAATATTTTATTTTTATTTATTATAAAAAAATAACCCTCTTAACACTAGCATTCTCTGTTCTTTTTCTATTCTTTTGACTTGTTTTTCTTTTTACTCTATATATATATATATATTGTTGCCCTTTTGTTAGTTTTGATTGCTTCTATTGTCCTCATTTGTAAGTTGCTTTGGATAAAAGCGTCTGCTAAATGACTAAATGTAAACTACATGTTATAAATGCTTTGTTAAATAAAATGTTATTTATTAAATAATATATAACGAGAAATAATTATTAAATGACAACTACCTCAATTAAAATTAAAAGTTCTCATATAACAAAAGTATTTTTTTATGTTGACAATAACTGGCAAAAATATGTTGAAAATATATTGCTTGTATGTTTTTAATACAATATTAAATAATAAAATTAATAAAAATAAAATTTTATATTAGCAATTTATTTTCCTAAACTTTTTTTTGTAAGTTTTTCATATCAATAGAGACGTTTTATTAATTTTTTTCTTGTGTGGATTAAAATAAAAATACTAAATAGATGAATCATCATCGTCATCTTCACACTTGTTTGTACAGTGTGTGAGTTACAGATGCATCAGGAAGCAGCAGGGTTAGTTCAATAAAGGTGTGTGTGGCTGTAAATGCAGATTACAGACACAATCACGATCATCACGAGCTGTGGATCTCGATGTGAGGAGCAAAAGCGCAGGTAAGTGCATTATACAAACATTAAACCGACCGTTCTGAAATATTGTGACATTAGCTGAACCCATAAATGACCGAATCGATCCGGGTGCTGGAGGCGGCGCGACGGTAACGCCAGGAAAACCAAACTCACGGCTTCTGCGTCGCGTTTGGCTCGATTCACATGAAAACATCATATTGCGTTGCAATCATAACTAAGCACAGCTCGACGTGCATTCGAGGTAAGACTCCCACGGTTTTATGCTGGAAAATGGCTGCACATGAAGAGCTAGAAGCCGCTCTGCCGCACACGGTAAACAACAGCAGGGTTGAGATTTAGGGCATGAAAGAGAGTGGCGTGGCTTAGCGGTTCACTGAGCAGCCGGCTGTTCGAGGAAGGTGTGAAAGTCGAGCCTCGCTTGCACTGACGCGCCGCTAGTTGGCGTCCTGTCGCTTCAGTTTCTGGTCACAAATGATGTTTATTTCCAGATTAAAATGAGATATCCTTTTGTTTTGAGCGCATCATATCAACAAGACGGGCGATTATCAATATATTAAACTCAGAATCATGCTTATGTAAATCGATGTGAGATAAAAAAAAAAAAAGTTATGACATTAAACGTCGACAAACAGTTGTGACATAAAACAATTATGACAAAATTGTTGACCTTTTATGTCAGTTATGACTTATGTCATAATTTAAACCTTTTTTTAATAATTATGACTATCTCAGAATTTCAAATGTTTATTTCCTAATTTCGAATTTATCCAATAACTATTACTTAGAATCTCACAATTTTTTCTTTTCTTTTTTTTGTCATATTTATGACTTTTTATCTCATCTCGACTTCCTGTCTCATAATAATGGCTTAGTATCGTACTTTAGATATTTTGTGATGATTATTTTTATCTCAAAATTTCAACTTTTTATCTTATAATTATGACTTTATCTCATAATATTGTGTTGTCATTATAACGTTTTATGCCATAATTACTTTTTATCTCATAATTATTACTTAGCATCTCACAATTTTGACAATTTTTATGTCATAATTATGACATTTTCAAAATTATGATGTACCAAAAACTGATGCTTAGGTAAATCATTGTTGTGAGATAAAATGTCATTATATGAATCATGACATAAAAATTAAAAATTGTAAGAAAAAACAAAAACAATGATGACAAAAGTTTTTGACCTTTTATGTCATAATTATGGCTTATTTCAGCTTTTTATCTAATAATTTTTTTTTTTTTGGAAAAGGCCAGAGAGGCTGCGGTCAAAGCGACACACGCGGATCTGAGGAAAGATGTGAGCAGCGTATTGGAGGAGATCGCAGAGCTGGTGAAGACCTACAGCACGACTGCTCTGAAGCTTCTGGAGGCCGAGTTGAGACCCAGAGAAGATGCTGTTGGGAAAAGAGTGCGAATGCTGTCAGACCTCCAGAAGCAACTGAGAACGGCCGAACTTCAAGTCAACACGTTAATGGACGAGGCGGATGACGCGTGTCTTAGTGACGTGGAGAACCAGGTCTCCAGCTTGACCCTGGAGCCTTTGCAGGACTCCTCCAGCGATCTGGAGTTATCCAGCAGTTTGAAGAAAGTCTGTGAGAAGATCGAGCACCAAAATACCCAACTCCGTCTCGGACTCGGATCCGCTCAGCGGGCTCTACGCGTCGTTCTCAACCCATCCGAGGTGACGTTCAACCCTGAAACCATCCATCCCAACCTGGTCTTGTCCGAAGACCTCAAAACGGTGTCTTTTAGCGCAGCCAAACAGCCGTATCCAGCCAGATCTCAGAGGTTTACCAGTTTCTTCCAGGCTTTGAGCTCCCAGAGCTTCGTCCGAGGAGAACATCTCTGGGACTTCCAGGCTGAAGGCTGTGCTTGGGTTCTGGCCGTGTGTTACGGCGAACTGCCCAGATCTGGTTCTGGAAGCGGACTGGAGAGCAGCACTGGATCCTGGTGCCTCATGTACTGCGATAACCTTCTGAGGGCATACGAGAAAGGAAAGGACACGCCGCTTAGACGCACGCCGTCTCTGAAGAGAATGGAGATACGCCTCAGCTTTAGCACCGGCACTTTAGCGTTTAACAGCGTCAGCGAATTAAGTGGGGATAAAACTCACCTGCACACTTTTAAAGTCAGCTTCGCGCAGCCGGTGTATCTGGCTGTAAGGATGATGTCTGGTCAACCCAAAGCACACATCACTGTAAACTAGTGATTGGCCACTAGAGAAACCCACTTGCTTCTGCATTGCTTTCACCTTATGCAACCAACTGCTAAAATAATTTCTTAGACCTTATTCATCCATACTTATCCTGTTGTCACAATGTTATGATGCAATACGTCATTAATGTTCACTTACGCACTCAATGCATCTTGCTGCACTAGATTGTCACATGCATTGTGTTTGCATTATTTAATTGAATCAATATGCAGTGTTCCTCAACTTGTGTTCGACATTTGTTTAACTTCAATAATAATAATAGCATGTTTGTTAATACTTGCATTATTTTTTTTAATCAATATGCAGTGTTCCTCAACTTATGTGTTAGGTTTTGAGCATGTGAAATTTGTTTAACTTCAATAATACAAGACCACTTTACATTGAAAACAATTCTAATTCTGTTTCTATGCTGTGCTTTTCTTTTAACATGTTTGTTAATACTTGTTTCTGTCTAAATTTAAATAAACATTGTCTACCCTTTTCTAGATATTGTATTATAGTGTATTATTTACTGTATACATATAGTATCTTATTGTCTTTTTAAAACCCTAAGGTTTGTTTTATTTTAATTTTGTCTTTTATTTTGAAGGGTCAAAAGGGCGGATAGATTTTTATTTTGAAGTGTAGTCTAGATGGTGCCTAGACGGTGTCGTTTTCGTTTTATTATATAAATATCAATTTTAGTGTTATCATCAACACTATGTAATGTTAAAGCATAGATGTGCACATGTGAATTATGTTTATAAATAAGATTTAAATATAAGTAATTTAACAAATAACACGTGCAAATCATTAAATATTAGTAGTGCAATCTAAAATAAAAAAATAAAGCAAATGAAATAAAGATACGGTGCAGAGTAAGCAATAAAAAGTACACAAATGTATTAAGTGGTCGCTTTGAGTCTTTTATTGTGAAAGGTCGCATAGATGACGCATTCACGCCGACTGACGCATCAGTTCATTCCGTCTGTAAACAACAAACACCGACGAAAGTTATTATGCCTGAGCTAATAACTTATGATCAGGTTAATACTGAAGCACACAGCCTCTGATCCGAGATCATCAGCAGTTAAAGGTGAGCGGTGTGTTTGAGGTTCTGAGGAATTGTGTCATATGATACATGATCAAATAAACATATCAGAAAACACACAGACAGATTCACCTTCACTGACGCTTTATGCTTGTGTTCGGATCAGTGTGTGTTGCTTTCGGTCACTCAGACTGTGAGTGTGTTATGTAACGTCATATTCCCGCGGAGAAACTTTGTTACATTTCATGAATTCGCAACATTCCGATCTCTTGTGAAATGTAACATTTTTTATTAAATCGATTTGAGAATGTTTGTGATGTCTGATTTAAGACAGTTAGTAAACTGACTCAAAGTGAGGCTGTTATTTTAAAATGATGTATATACGATTACAGTGTTTATTAATATTGTTTATTTTTATATTTTTTGTTTGCATTTTAACTTTAGTAATATTGCTATGTGCTTTGTAATGTTTATTAGTTTTTAAATTAAATTTCAGTCTAGCTTTAATTTCTTTTTATTTCACTTTTACTTCATTTCAGTTTTAGTAATTTTAGTACTTAAACTTATGTATTTCAGTTAGCTGCCCAGGCAACATTTCCAATTTTTACATTTTAAAGTCCTTTTTATGTTCAACTATTGTGTCTCATTCCCGCAGAGAAACTTTGTTACATTTCATGAATTCGAAACATTCCGATCTCTTACGAAATGTAATTTTTTTTTATTTTGTATTATTAAATTGATTTGAAAATGTTTGTGATATCTGATTTAAGCCAGTCAGTAAATTGTCAAATTGGGGCTGTTATATTAATATTATTCATATACTGTTACGGTTTTTGTTAATATTTTAATTAGTGTTTTTTTTTTTTTCAGTTTTCATTTTAACTTTAGTAATATTGCTATGTGCTTTGTAATTTTTATTAGTATTTTTTAATTATATTTCAGTCTAGCCTTAATTTCTGTTTATTTCAGTTCATGTTTCACATTTCAGTTTTAGTCATTTTAGTACTTAAACTTATTTATTTCAGTTAGTTGCCAAGGCAACAAGTCCTTTTTATGTTGGACTGTTGTGTCATTGTGTTAAAATGACACAGTTGTGAATCTAATCATCTATTATTAACTCCCAGAAATCTGTGTTTTGCATGCAAATAGTAGTTTGTATGTTATATGTGTAAGTATGAATGTAAACTGAAGCAGAGGTTTAATCCAGAATGCTGGAGACTGTGACTGATGGGGGAAGTTTGCTCCATTATGCCAATACCAGTGTGTTTCCCACCGCGGACAACAGCTCTGAATTCAACCCTGACCATGAGAACAACATCACCAAACCACACAGATGCCTGCAGATCCTGTACGACGACATCGGACACTCAAGGTACGGCCGTTTCTTCTGTAGGAAACATACCTGTGCTTATTGCTTTTATGTGATATGTGAAATATCACTGCACATTCATGCATGTCTGATATATGGAGTTACTGTAAATACTGTAAATATATAAGTCTGGGATCTTTGCCAATGCCTGAATGTAGTTTGTAAGCTCATATACTGAAGAGTTGCTCTCAGATACAGATGATCTTGTGTAGGAACAGTAGACGCTTGTGTGAAGCGTGTGAAATGTGATTTTAGTGCTGCAGGATTTTTTACATGAGCTTTCAGTTCTGCTTTTGTTTCTGTGCTGTAACGACTCTGTCAGACGGGACTGTCCTCTGTAATTTTATTAAGATTCTCCTGGGCTTTGTGTTCCTTTGAGGACTTTCGTGTTACTGAATGTCTTCAGTGACAGCAGATGTTTGGTGGTTTTCATGACAACTCTCCTTGTTTTTTTTTAATCATAAATCAGCAAATTAACTAGAAAGAAAAACAGTATGTCTATTGTTTTGGGTTGTCTGTTGAATGTTGTCAGTAAACTTCAGAGAAAAGATTTTCAAACTTGCACCAAAAAAGAACAATATTTCCTATGAAACTTGAGTTGTGGAAGTCAGAATAATATTCTCATTACAATAATGTTTTATTTTAAACTACTGTTCAGAAGTTTAGTGTCAGTTAGATGTTTTTGAAAGAAGTTTCTTCTGCTCATCAAGACTGCATTTATTTGATCAAAAATACAGTAAAAGAAGAAAAAATGGTGAAATATTATTACAATTTAAAAAACTGTTTTCTATGTGAATATCTGTTAAAATGTAATTTATTTCTGTGATCAAAGCTGAATTTTCAGCATCATTACTCCAGTCTTCAGTCTTGTGTGTGTGTGTGTGTGTGTGTGTCTGTGAGTGTGTGTGTGTGTGTGTGTGTGTGCGAGTCTGTGTGTGTCTCTCTGTCCGTGTGTCTGTGTGTGTGCTGTGTGTGTCTGTGAGTCTGTGTGAGTCTGTGTGTGTGTGAGTCTGTGTGTGTGCGAGTCTGTGTGTGTCTCTCTGTCCGTGTGTCTGTGTGTGTGCTGTGTGTGTCTGTGAGTCTGTGTGAGTCTGTGTGTGTGTGAGTCTGTGTGTGTGCGAGTCTGTGTGTGTCTCTCTGTCCGTGTGTCTGTGTGTGTGCTGTGTGTGTCTGTGAGTCTGTGTGAGTCTGTGTGTGTGTGAGTCTGTGTGTGTGCGAGTCTGTGTGTGTCTTTCTTTGTGTGTCTTTCTGTTTGTGTGTGTGTGTGTGTGTGTGTGTGTGGGGTCTAGTATTGTAGTCATAAATGGCTGGTTTCTGTGCTGTTTAATGAACACTGTGTCACAGCAGTAAAGCCTCTGTTTTGGTCTGATTCTTGACTGTTCCTATATGTTTCTCCGTCAGGGTTCGTTACTGGGACGTGATGCTGCTCGTCCCAAACGTGGCTTTCCTGGTCTTCCTGATGTGGAAGCTTCCTTCTGCTCGCGCTAAGATCCGTCTGACCTCCAGCCCCATATTCGTGGCCTTTTATATCCTGGTAAGCAGCAGAAACTGCAGTGTGTAAGTTTGCGTTCAGTGGGAGCCTCTGCTTTCTGTCACTCCACACCTGTGTTATGCTGCTCAGGTTTGCTGTAACGGACTCTTTCTCTCGTGCCGTTCAGGTGTTCGTGGTGGCGGCTGTAGGAATCACACGTGCCATCGTCTCCATGACCGTCAGCACATCCAGCGCCGCCACACTCATAGACAAGGTGAAAACACACACATGAGGACTTCATAGTGACGTCTGTGAATCTTGAATTAATTATGGTACTATATAGCTACTAACAAAATCCTAATCCTGGTGTTTTCATGGACCATTATTCTTTTCATGACACTAACAAAAAGCCCTTTTTTATTTGAGCTTTTGTGGACATAGTTCTGTACTTTTGCTCTGTCTTGCACTGAAAATATATTCATGTTTAAAAACATTTAATGTCTTTAGGCTTTTCTAGCCCTTCCAAATACTCTGGTATTTTCTCCATTCAGTACAAAATCAACGAATGCTGAAAGAGTACTTCAATCCAGGGTCAGAAATGAACAAGGGCCACAGAACGTGATAAAAATGGCTAAATATTCAGCAGCTAGTGCTGGGGTCAAAACATGACTCTATTGACTTAAATGCCTCTATTTTTATCCTGTTATCTAAGCTTTGATATTGTGATTTCATTATATTCCATTCCAGACCTATCAAGATTGCTACTTATTTGTTGTATTGACATACACTCAATTTTCAGTCAGAAAATGTTTATACTGTGAGAACTTTTATGCATTAAACTGATCAAAAGTGACAGTAAAGACATTTATAATGTTACAAATAAATGCTGTTCTTTTGAGCTTTCTGTTCATCTGGGAGTCCTGAAAAATAAAACGCATCATGGTTCCCACATAAAACATGCAGCAGCACAACTGTTTTCAACATTGATAATAATCAGAAATGTTTCATGAGCAGCAAATCAGCATATTAGAATGATTTCTGAAGATCATGTGACACTGAAGACTGGAGTAATGATGCTGAAAATTCAGCTTTGCATCATAGATATAAATTACATTTTAACAGATATTCACATTGAAAACATCTATTTTAAAATGTAATAATTTTTCACAATTTTACTGTTTTTACTGTATTTTTGATCAAATAAATGCGGCCTTGGTGAGCAGAAGAGACTTCTTTCAGAAACATTTAAATCTTACTGACGCCAAACTTTTAAACAGCAGTGTATTTAGTGAAATGTTATAGTCGGTGAGAAGTTGAGGTGGAGCAAGTTATTATATTATGTTGATGGATTATAAAAACAAACATTTATTTAATTACAATAATGTGACTGATGAATCCTTCATAATCAGAGCAGGAACATGAATTAAGAAAGTAAATACAGTCTGTTCTGACTTCATGTTGACTCGTGTTAGGTTTGCTGATGCTGTAATAAATGAACACAGTGAGAGGATTGTGCTGTAATTGTGGTGTAAATCCATCGGTGATTTCTGTGTGTTTACAGGTGCTTTGGGAAATTACTCGGTTCTTTTTAT